ACGGATCCATCTGGTGGTGGTTCTGTCTACCCCACATTTTTCATGCAATATTAGAATTCAACATTATAGAAGCACAAGCAATAGAACACAGTCAAACTAGAGTCTTGGACTTCAAGAGAGCTAATTTCAATAAACTTAGAGAGGGCTTGGGAAGGATTCCATGGATGAGAATCCTCAAGGGGAAAACAAGTCAAGAAGCTTGGGAAATTTTGAAAAATGAGATAATAAAAGCACAGTCTAGCACAATACCAACAAAGAGGAAAAACAACAGCTCTCAAAAGAAACCAGCATGGCTACATAAAGAACTCTCTGACAAATTGACAAATTCTCCCCTCCTGCTGTGGGATCCTTGGTGTTCTCTGACTTGGTAGTTTTCTTGCAGATGTTTCAGTATCAAACTAGGTAACATCATCCGTGCTAGAAGAGAGAGGAACTTGCTCTCATTTTTATGTACTAGTGGTTTGCCCTGTCAGTGTTGGAGGGGGTGTTCTTGGAGGTCCCTGGATTGTTTACTGTTAGCTTGTCTGTACTGGTAATTGCTCGATTGGGAGGTTGTTTACCGGATTGTTGGTCTTGTGTTATTCTTGATGTTAATTTTTGCTCATATAGGTGTTGATTGCTAATTAAGAGACATTTTGATATTCTTGTTTCTTTTGGGGGTTTTGGACTGTAGATGTTGTTTATCTCTGTGTGCCTGTCGATGGCCACTTTGTCTAAGTGGCAGGCCTCCAGGAATTCTCTGGCAATTTTTGGATTTGGCTTGATCTAAGGATGCTCACAGATTCCCAGTGGAAGGTATGGTTGTGTCTATCCACTTAGTGTGAAATGAAGGGGTTTTCATCATGTCTTCTGACTGCTAGTTGGTGTTCATGGATGCATTTTGCTGGTTCCTTCCTGTTTATCCTACATAGTGCTGTAATAGTCCAGTGTGTGTTGTAGATAACTCCGTTTTTTTCTTCTGGAGCTGCTGGATGTTTTGGTTTTGGACAGCTTTTGATGGTTTAGAATTAGGGCTGGTCTTCGCCTGGAGTTGTCCCTCCCATTCACTTTTATATTTTTGAGGCAACTTTACTTCTCGCCTGCGCAATGACGACACAATGATTTCTGGATCACTTTGTGTCCTTTGCAATCCACAGGATGGCTTCTGCTTCAGGGAGAGAGAAAAAATGAAGGAAGTCAACACCTCCTTTTGCATGGTGTGTATGTGTTTCTTTTCTCCTCCCCTCAGCTCTCTCCTCCCCCCACTGGAAGCTCAGCAGGCATGAGGAGAAGCAGTCAAAGAGGAAGGAAGGACCCACCCCACTTTGCATCTTAAGAAGACAGAACTCTTGGAATAATTCTTCCAACAGGCATCCTTTATTAAGAGAAAATGGTTGCAGGTGTTCTAGACAGGATTTGGGGTCCAAGCTCTCCCATTCAAGGTTTTAAGGGGTTCCCCAGTAGCCCCACCCAATCACCCCCTTCTTCCAGCGATAGTCTCAGGCATTACGCTCCCACCCCCTTTTCCTTACTGCCGGCTGGATGGAGACTTCAGAGAGAACTACATGAAAGATAATAGCCTCATTCTTATGGTTAGTCCTTTTGGCGATATCCACATTCAGTCTCTTTGAAGTGTACTGAAGGAAGTGAGGGCCATAAAGCCCCTTTGTTCACCCCCTTCCCTTCACCGTATGGCAGAATCCAGGGAAGGCAGAAATGGAGTTTTCTATAGTTGATAACTAGAGATGAAATATAATTGGATTCTGACAAACGCATTCAGTCTTAGCTCCACAAGGCCGTCTAGAAACAGCGAGGAACCAGCCCCTGCCATGTCGGCCTCTCCCCCTGGGTGCATGCTGGGGAGGTGTCACCCTTTGTGAGGAATGAAGAAATGCACCATGCCTTGGTGCTTGCCCCGGTCCCACCCGCTTCTGCCAGAGACCCTCAGATCTGTCCCACTCCTGCCCAGGCCCCCATAGGCACCCTTGACGCAAAGGATGTAGAGCTGGCCATGCCCACCCAGTAGGCCACACGCATTCCATCCACTCCCACCCAGTAGGCCACACCCACCCTGGCTGCACCCACCTGTCCCCCCCCCCGAGCACAACCACAATGCTGATGCGGCCCTCAATGAAATTCAGTTGGACACCCCAGATGTAGCACAACGGGGTAACTGTGGCCATTGAATCTATTGGTGTGATTAGCCACTGGTTGACCTGGGACAGTCCAGTTTAATATATTTTAATTTATATATTGAGAGACCATCTCTAGTTAATATATCAAGATATTTATTGCTTATTTAATACATAGAGACTACAGTGGCAAGATACCTTGTATCTACTGATGAGGTCATCCATTGGTTGATTTGGGTTAGATCCACTGGTTGATCTGCTTTGGATCCACTGGTTGATCTGCAATAAATGAAAGTCAGACCATCGGCCTTCCTGCCCAAGCATGCCTGTCCATTAAGGTGACGGAGGAGATGCTGATACCTAAGTGGCTGAGGGATGCTTTCGGTGTAGGGATGCTATTGATCAGGATAAGGTTCCCCCATACCTTATAAGCTCTAGCTGAACTTTAGCTGTTACTATGACTACTGAAGACGTACAGTATTAATGATATTGTTCTTAATGATTGGCGTATGTGTGTGTTCATGACTGGTTCATGGCAAAGTATGTTTCTCCAACTTGTATTAAAAGTGGGGTCCACTGTGGAGCAGGGACGTCCCATTTTGGAATTTGCTTCTTTAGGAATAAAAGTTTTACACCTTTCCGCCTACCAAGTCTGGTTGTTGGGCTTGCACACCAGGGAAAGAAAGTCCCAGTTTTCCCAAGGTATCCCTGGAGCTTTTATGGTACAAAAATATGGCCAAAGATCTTTAAAAACAATTGTTTTTTTTTATTGAAAAGTTTTATAAAAATTACAGCATACACTCCAAAGCCCACCCACCCTAAACCCCCCCTCTCCCTCCCCCACTTCCCAGAACTGAGTACAGGGTTACAAATATAATAATCAAACTCTAACTAACATTAACCAACTATTTAAATAACCAAGTCCATAATGCGCTTTAACTCCCCTTTAACATAGGTATAAACAAATTAAAAATAAATATAATAATATAAACAAGGCGATATTATTAAACAATACAATATCCAAATTGTTAAACAATACTAATACTAAAAATAATAATAAAACTAATAAAAATTCTACTATAATAAACTATTAATAATAATAATACTCTAAAATTTACTCATAAAGTAGATGGAACTTTTTAGTCCCATATTTATTCTGAATATAATCTATCTATCTTCTCCAGACCGAAATGTATCTTTCTTGTGAATGATCCTTCAAGTAAGCAGAAATTTTCGCCATTTCTGCTAAATTTGACACTTTAAGTGTCCATTCTTTTATAATAGGCAAACAATCCTTCTTCCAATATTGCCCTACCAGTAACCTTGCAGCTGTTATCAAATTCAACATCAAGTTAATTTCTTTAGCATCACAATTTACAATAACACCCAATAAAAATAATTGTGGATTAAACTTTATCTTTCGCCTAAAAAATCTTTTGAATGTTCCACCAAATCTTAATAAAAACAATTGTTTAAGGAGCAATTGGAGAAAAGGATGTGCAGAGCACCAGTTTCCTGAGGAAGGAAGATTTCCGTTAAGAAAGACCACTTATTTAAAAGAGAAAATGTTAAAGAATCATCTAACAAACATCTAGACGTGTTTTGCACAGAGAGGAAACTGTTATGCTGTAATACACCTGTCAGTACTCAACTAGAGGGGACAATGCATATATTTGTGGCTTTGTTTTTGGTCTGTTTTTAATGCAGTTTTCTAAAAAAAATGCTTTGACTAGTTTTGTTCTCTTCCAAAATCTTTTAATAATAATAATAAATAATAATAATAATAATAATAAAGTTGGATGGGATCTTGGAGGTCATCTTGTCTAACCCCTTACTCAGGCAGGTAACCCTATACCATTTCGGACAAATGGCTGTCCAGTCTCTTCTTGAAAACTTCCAGTGTTGGAGCATTCACCACTTCTGGAGGCAGGTGGTTCCACTGGCTAATTGTTCTAACTGCCAGGAAGTTTCTCCTTAGTTCTAGGTTGCTTCTCTCTTTGGTTAGTTTCCACTTTTGAAGTTACTATTCTAATTTTGGGAAGGGGGGTGTCATTTCAAAGAGGCCCCCCCACAATAGCTGGAGAAGAAGAATGAAGTCATCTCCAACTGGCAGGAGAGCAGTGAGTGTCTCAGGCAGCAAAACGAGAAGTCCAAGGAACAAGGGGCTGAACTGAGGGTCCCTGCTGAACCCCCGTCCCCCGTCCCCCCTCCCACCATTCCCCAAGCCACTCCCTGCTATCCCAGGGAACTCCTAGACCCCTCAGAGGTCGTGGCCCCCTCCCATATCCTCCCCCCCCCATGTCAAGAAGAAAAAGAGCGTCCCGTAAGACAAGCTGCTCCTGCAGAGATTTCACAACTCTGGAAACTGCATCCCTTTTTTTGATGGTGGAGGGGGGGAAAGCTGACTGGAGGGGGGCGGGAAGCTGACGGGGGGGGGGCGGGAAGCTGACTGGAGAGGGGCTTAGTCTTTGCCCGGACAGGAATGGGCGTGGGGAGAGGAGAAGGAGGCGGGGCAGAGCTCTGAACGTTCTCCGCTCACTTTCACTTTCGCTCTTTGTTCCGAAATGCAAACGAGAAACTTAAAAGGAAGTTCGGGCGAAGCGCGAGGGGGAAGGAAGCCATTTTAATTGCCAACCAGGCTTTTTTTGGGGGGGGAGGCAGCCCCAGGAGGCAGCGCCCCCCCCACCTTCTCCCCCATTTACAAGCTTCCCCGAGCCTCCCCGGAGGGTCCCCGAGCCCGCGATGGGAAGGGCTGGCCCTGAAGGCATCGGCAGCGATCCAAAGCCCCAAAGCGCCAGGTTGAGGTTCCGTTTGGGATTCATTGCCCGCCGAGGGGAACTGCCGGACGAAAGAGCGTCGGAAGCCAGCCAAGCCGGGAGAAAAGAAGCGGGACGGCCTGGCAGAAGAGAAAAGAAAGGATTTTATTTTATTTAAAATTACCTGGATGTAAAGAACGGCCGATTCCAGACCGCCCTTATTCACCCAAGCAATCCAGCGCCTTTCTTCGGGAGTTCGAGGCAACTCCCATCATCCCCAGGCCGCAGGGGAGGATGGGGATTGTAGCCTCAGCCCCCCATCCCCCACCCCAAGGGCGGGTCTCCCTCTTGAGTAACCAGGGGCTTTGAGCTGACCCGCCTCCTCCATATAAGGCCGTTCCCAGGACGCCCGGCCCACTAACTAAGGGGTGGGACTAGAAGACCTCCGAGGCCCTTTTCAACCTTATTACAGTATATACTTACCGTGTGTTCCTCCGCGCTCTCGGGGCTGGGCTGGTTTTTGCCCCGAACCTCCTTTCGCTCCGGCTCTTTCCCTTTCCTGGCTCTCCAGGGGGTCTCCTTTCCTTCTCCCCAAAGGGAGCTTCGACACCCCTCCCCCCGCGGATGACCTCCGCGCCACTTTCCCTTTCCAGCGCTCAGCCCCTCCGGCGCCCTTCACAGACTTCCTCCTTCGCCGCCAGCTGATCGGGGCTGCCCATCTAGCGTCTGGATCCGGATGGGACTCCTGACGGCTCGGATGGAGCTTTTGTCCGCGGCGGCCCTCCTGTTGCTGGGGGCAGGATGTGCAGGTAAGTGGCCGGAGGGGGGAGGGCTAAGAAAATCTGAGACGGGCAGCCTGTTTTTCCTGTGGCAGGTCGTTCCGGAGGCTTTGCCCGGTTGGGGAGGGCAATCCTATCAGTCTGTTTTAATCTTGGTGTAGACTTTTGGCCTGATTTCATACTGCCTGCGGCAAAACTGAAAGTTACCAGAGGACATCTAGTCTCTCCTCTAAAGGAGAACATTTGTAGTTCAGGGTCGAAATGAGGGGTCCTGGGTGATGCTCTCTGAGCTTGCTTCTTTTCTTTGATTTTAAAGTTTTATTAATTTTTATCAAAACAAAAGATCCAAAGGAAAATGAAAAGTAACGTAAAACCCGGGGAAGGAGAAAGGGAAAATGTGGGCTGGGAAGGGAAAAAGAGAAAAAGGCACGGACTTCCAGCTCTCTTTGGCATAATAGATGATAACATTACAACTTCAACTTTTTATTTTCATGCAAGAGTACAGACGTATCAAATACAAGGCCTGCGGCCGGATCCAGCCTGTCATGTGGTTGCCTCTGGCCACGGAGATGCTCTGGAAACAGCAAAGGACCGGCCGCGGCACCTCGGCCCGGCGCAGGCTGACCGGTGCTGATCTGCAACCTGGTGCCAGCCACCAAAGCCAGAATGCGCTCAGCCTTAGAACCACGGGGCAGCCCTGGGCTGGCTAAGGAATTCTGGGAGTTGAAATCCACAAGCCTTAAAGTTGCCAAGTTTGAAGACCATTGCACTTGAACATAAACTGAGAGTACATTCCACTCCTTACTAGCATTGATGATGTTACCTAGTTTGGGTGATGTAACCTCTTCAAGAAGAGAACCAAAGTTAGAGAGCACCAAGGACCCCTCAGTGCCTCCTGTTTTGGGGCCAGGATGTCTTCCTTGATAAAACTCTGTACACCTCCATAATTTTAAAGTCGTGAGGCTTTGTCTATGAAGAGGGCTGGTTCCAAATTAAAAAAAAAAAGTTTGTTTTTTTAAAGTGTGCCTTTGGAGACCCCTCTCCCAAATCTCCTCCCTCCCCTCCCCCAATCTGCTCTTTTCAGGCTCCTCTTCCCATTCATTGGGCATTTTCTACACGCTGTTCATGGGCTCCAGCCAAGATGGGGTCCAGTACATTATGGTGGCGTATGTGGACGATCAGCTGGCTGCACGCTTTGACCCCCCCACCAGAAGAATGCTTCCCCAAGTGCCCTGGCTTCGTAATCTGAGTGAGGAAGACTCCCATCTCTGGGAATCCCTATCTTGGTTAGTGAACGCCACGGAGCGGGGGTTCAAGCATGAACTCACCATCCTGTACAACTATCACAACTCCAGCAAAGGTAAGGCACAGTAGGGTGCGGGGGGCTTTGAACCATGGATTTGGGACTGTTCTGCCCAGACAGAACTCGTGGCTCTGAATCCAATCTAAACAGTCAGATAACTCGATAGAAATGATTACAACAAACATTTATTGTCCAGGGATTCTAAGCAGAGACTTACTGTGCTGTAGATACATCTGGTTTTCCATATTTGTTCATTCCTATAGGTAATTTAATATTGAATTTTCCCCTCTTCTTCTGCTGAGAGTCACATGTTGGCAAAACACATGTGGCTGGATGAACAAAGGCTTCCATCTGGCTTGTGTCCAGGAAGTCTCCCAATGACCCTTTTGACTCCTCCCACTGACCCATCAACATACCCAGCATTTAACCCAATAACTGCCAGATATTCTAACATACTAACACATGCTCCTAGTTAGAGTTACGTAGGTCTATGCTAAGTCCAGAACAGGGGCCTCCCCAGGGACTCTTCCTCTCCAGGAGGAGTCTGGATGGGTAGGAAATAGTAGGAAAGAAAATGTGGCCGTGCACATCTGAGTCAAAATAAAATGTCCCTATTCTGCACATGAATGGGGAAGGCTGAATGAAGGGCTGCCACTTGCGCGGCGAAAGTCAAATGGCCAAAATACAGATTGTCCTCGGCTTATGACCACCGTTGAGCTCCAGATTAGTGAGAAATTTGTCACGGGAGTTTTGCCCCATTTTACGACTTTTCTCGCCACTGCTGTTAAGTGAATCACTGCAGTTGCTCAGTTTGTCATCCGGTTGTTGAGTGAATCCAGCTTCCCCGTGGACTTGGCTTGTCAGAAGATCGCAAAAGGGGATCCCATGACCCCAGGACACTGCGACCGTCATAAAGTAGTTGCCAAGCATCCGAATGCAAATCAGGCGACCGTGGGGATGCTGCAACGGTCGTAAGTCTGAAAAATGGCCGTAAGTCACTTTTTTCCAGTGCCGTTGTAACTTCAAACGGCCACTAACTGAACTGTTGTAAGTCAAGGACTGCATGTGAAGGACAACAATGAGCTATCGTTGTTTTTAAAAAAAGATCAATAAATCTACAGGTCAGCTTTCTGAAATAAAGGACTGTCCTTTATTATACGGCAGAGGTCTCCAACCTTTCTGGGCTTGTGGCCCAGAGGGAAGGAGAGCAGCTTCCAAATTGGTGCGTGTGCACGCACACAAACGGGGCCACGCACACTGGTGTGGCACTAGTGGCCGTATTTGTGCCTGTGGCATGCTCTGGCACCATGCGCATGTGCGAACGGCCGTTTGCTGGACTAGTGTGTAACCATCTGGCCAGACTGTATGTCTAACTTAGGAACTAAGAAGTGTGCTGTTAGAGCAAGTAGCATTTTAAGGGGTTAAATGCTGTCTCCTTAAGAGGTGGCTTCTGGGAAATGTAGTTTAGTTGTTGCATGGTTATATATATATATGTTCTAATTGGTCAGTTCTATGTCTTAACTAACCATTGGGAGGGACTTCTGTGTTTACGACAGGATTTCCTGGCTAAGTGTATGTATGAAAAGCTTTGTGTAGTACAGCTACATGGTTCCTTTGCTCCATACGAAAATGGGGTGAATCTACCTTTAATTTTTTTACACCACAAGAACGGACAGGTTATGATACGTGCCTCAGAAGAACTCTTGTTAACTGTAAGTTATTGTTTAGGGATTCCTGAAGAATAAATAATCTGAATATTAATCCGTCTTTGGAGTTAATCTGTCTGTGACAAACAGGAATAAAGCAAATCTCTTGTTTGGATCAGAACAGGCTGTGTACCCTACAGCGGCTAGCAGCCCTGTTCACGCATGCGCAAATGGTCCACAGGTGCTAGTGCGAGTGGGGGGCGAATACGCATGGCCTGCTGACCAAGGACCCACAGCTTAGGACCGGGCCACGGCCCATAGGTTGGGGACCCCTGTTATACGGTACAGGTGGTTACTCTGCCTATATCCCAACGTTTATCCTGATTTGAGCAGGGTGTCAAGCCCTCCCGGGCTCGACACACAAAAAAAGGGGGGAGAGCCTGGTGACAGAGGAGGAAACCCAGCATAAGATCTAAGCAGCTCACCGTTTTAGAAGAAGCCTCAGGGGTGGTTGAGGTTTCTCTAATTGCTGCCGGGTGCTGGTTGGGAGACGAGCGGGCAGGGTTGTAGGTTGTTAGGCGGAGGTGTGATGGGTTTGTGGCTGGGGATTAATTGGGGAAGGGTGGGGTAGTAATTACAAGAGGGTAGTAATTACAGGAGTGTATTTAAACAGAGCTGGGAGGCAGTTGCTCCCAGCGCAAACTTTGTAAAGCATAGAACCTGATTGCTAAGGTCTGTGTGAACGTCATCGCTTTACCTCAAGTAAACTGGAGTTTGTTGGACGAAGGTGTTCCTGTGTTTTCCTTTTTCCTGCAAGTGTCCGGTAGGAAAGCTGACACGGGGTTCCACAGTTGGCAGAACCTGATTCGCTGCGAGCTGAGCGACAAAGGCCACAAGGGGGGCGTTTATCAGTATGGCTATGATGGGAAGGACTTCATCAGCCTGGACCAGAAGACCCTCACCTGGATCGCATCGGATGTTCACGCTCAGGTGACCAAGAGGAGATGGGAAGGTGAGCGTTTGATCGCTCAGAGCAGGAATCACTGTTTGGAGAACAAATGCATAGAGCTGCTCCAGAAGTGCCTGACGTACGGAAAGGAATCCCTGCTGAGGAAAGGTGAGGAAGGAAGGAGGGAGCCAAGTTGGTGTTGATGATGTGTCAGGTCAGCGTTCAATCTGTGGGGCTACACAAGTGCAGTCTTAAAACATGCTGGGGTTGTGTTCTCTACAGAGGCCCCGGTGGCGAAAGTAACTCGCAGGATCCAGGACAAGGGCCAGGAGACCCTCGTCTGCCGAGTCTACGGCTTTTATCCCAAAGAAGCGAACGTCACCTGGAGGAAGGATGGAGAAGTCAGGGAGAATGGCACCTTCTGGAGTGGTGTTCTTCCAAACTCAGACGGGACCTACCATACCTGTCTGGGCATCAAGGTTAACCCTAGAGAGAGGGACCATTATCGCTGCTATGTGGTACACGCTGGACTAACAGAGCCTCTGATCGTGGCCTGGGAGGAACCTGGTGAGAGAACCGGGCAGGGGGGGAAACCAGCTGAACATGAGCAAAGTTGTCCCTAGGGTGTCTGTGGTCATACAACCTAATAAATGTAGTGAGGGGTTTCCTCGTTTAGCAGGTTCACCTATGCTGAGGACCTTAAATTGGCCAAGGGTTGAATTTGCTTAACACGTCAAGCTCCGAGAGGCCCTTACTTAAGTTCAGGTCCAGTGTGTTCGGCCAGCCAGGCCTTTCATGCAAACCTGAGCTGGTGGGTTAATTAAGGCATCTGAAAGAGGAGGAAGTTTAAAGCAGGGGTCCCCAACCTACGGGCTACAAACTGCTCCCGGTCCATGGCCTGTTGGGAACCGGGCTGTGCAAGCTGTAGCCGAGCACATGAAGCCTCATTTGCTCATGCACTGCAGCTAGGTTGAGTGTGCAAAACCATCCCCCCCTCCTCATTGCCTCTGCCATTACTGTTGCTGGTCCATGGAGCAAGAAAGATTGGGGACAGCTGGTTTAAAGTTTGGCATGTAAAGGTTGACTCCTGTGGGATGCCACAAGGAAGAAGATGTTTGTGGGGGAGGGAAGGCTTATAGTATGGAAAGTCAGCTGTATTTTTATAGCCTATCAAAATCCTAGAGCCAGAAGTGTCCCTTGAGGTCATCCAGTCCACCCTGTGCTCGGTGCAGGCATCTGACTTAAACCATCCCAGAAAGATGGCTCTTTAGCTCCTCCTTGGACAAATCCGTCCTCTCCCTGGATCAGAGGTTCTGCCCCTACTATTAAGGATTTTTTTAGTTAACTCAGTCTTGGCTGCCCTTTCACCATGGCTGGGGAATGCAAGGGAAGAGAAATCCCAGAGCTTCTCCAGTCATTTTGACCTTTCTCCAAAACAGTTGACGGGCTCGTGGCCAGAGTCGGGGTTGCGGTTGGAGGCATTGTGGTCCTCATTGCTGCCGCAGTGATTTGCTACATCGGTAAGTAACTCTTGGGTGGGCACCGGAGGCATCATTCACAAAACATGTGGGAGGTGCTGCCATACCCCTAAACCTGGCCTTTCCCATCTATCAAAGGCCGGGGGTGGGGGAGGAATTAAGGGACTCTTCAGCGGGAACCTCTAACTTCTTGATTCTGTCTTGCAGCCATATTTGTTGGAGGCGCAGGCGGAGAAATCGCGGGTGAGTGATCCTGAAATGTAATTTTGGTACAGGCTGCCTTTTGGGGTAGAAAGGGGAGTGGTCCAGTTTAGCCCAAATGAAGCTTGTAGCAGACTTATGAATTCTGGGCAATGGGAAATATGGGATCTTGCTACATAGAAGAAAGTTTGCCATGTGTCAGTTTATTTATTGATTTATTAGTTAGAATTTCTTAACTGCCCAGTAGCCAAATCTCTCTGGCAGTTCACAATAACAGAAACGCACACACAAAGAGAGAAAAACAGGGAGAGAAAGAGAAACAGAAAAGAGAGAGAGTGAGAGAGAAACGAGAAAGAAAGAGAGAGAAACAGGGAGAGGGGGAGAGAAAGAGAAAAACAACACAGAGAGAAAAACAGATACACAGAGAGAGAAAAAAACACAGAGAAACACACACAGAGAGAAACGGGGAGACACACACAGAAGTTGAGCTGAAACATATAGCAAAGTCAGGCTCCATTGATCAACCATGTGATGTGTCGCAACATATCACGACTTTTTTTCCATTGCCGGCAATGGGGTGGGCGTGGTTTCGGCATGACACCAGCCCAGGTGCTGGCAGTTTGACACCCCTGCTCTAGAGATAAGACAAGTGATAATAAATAAAACTAATTGTCAGGCTGTATATAACAATCCCCCTGAAACTTTCCATAAAGCCTCATTTGGGGAAAGCAATACTGGAGCAGGCTGACATCATGGGAGATGGGGTCAAGGTGAGCAAAAGGACAGTCCTGACAGATTTATTTTATTTTTATTTTATTATTTTATTTTATATTTTATTTTATTTTTTATTTTTGCTGGAGATCACCCTTAGTGATCCGAGTTATTTTCGTAAGCAATGACAAGGGCCATCAGTTTGGCTTTCTTGCTGTATCCTAGAAAAACTACTAAGAAAGCCTGGCTGCATTTGAACACATTTTGGAAAAAACCCTGTTTTAAATCAATGGTTCTCAACCTGTGGTTTGCGGATTCCTGGGGGGAGGTCCACAGTGTCGTCACAGGAGGTCCACGAAGGCTTGAAGAAATGTTATGATTTAAATTTTGAGTTCGTGGCCATGGTCTATGGCCACAAAAGGTACACAAAGGGGGTACGTGGTGAAGAAAAGGCCGAGAACCCCTGTTTTAGAGGATAGTGATGGTTGTGACTGATGGCAAAAGCAAACTGCCTTGAAGGGGAATACATGTGGGAGATGCCTAGGACTTTGTGTTGCTTATGATCCCTTCGATACATTGCCTGGCTAAAGGAGACTCTCCGCTTTGTCCTGAATCTTCATTTTGCTTATTTCTCTGTTACAGCCGCCAGACAGTATTTTGAAATGTGTCCCATGGTAAGTAGGGGATACAGGGCTGTAGGATCACATATCTTTTATCAGAGGGAACAAAATCTAATCTCTGGCACTGGAACAAAATGTTTTATTTCGGTATGTGTGTATGTATGTATGTATGAAATGTATTTAGCTGCCCATCTCAATGAAAGTGGTGCACAACAATCATGTTTTAGTGTTCTCCTACCTGTGTTGGAACGTAGTCTGGACTTCACAGAGGGAGGGGTTGCAATCCACCATGTCACCCCATCCAAGCGAGATTGCCTTCTGGGGATCCCTTGTCAGCCTGAATACAGGGTGTTGTACTGCTCTTCAGGACTTGCACTGGGAAAAACAAGGAAGTGGGTTCCATGGCTGAAGCAAGGTTGGAATTCGGGTCTTGTCTCTCCAGGACCTTTAGCATTACCTGCAATGACACCTGTGAAAAGTCTTAAGAGAAGGGAAGAAAAAAATGCTGCCTGGGGAAGGGTCAGATAAATGAGGCCTTAGCCACAGCTGCATAACGGGCAGGCTGAGAAGCTGAAAAGGGCCATAGCTTCTTAGGTTGTGGAAGACACCGCAGGAAATTTTTTACTTTCAGACTCGCAAGATTCTGTTAATGTAGCCTTACAATAATGTGGAATTAGTTTTATCTGATCGTGTTTCCTGTCTTGACTACCTGGGGGAAGCAATGTGGCCTTGGGAAGGGTCAGATAAGAGAGGGATTAGCCCGCAGCTGCATAACAGGAAGGGTGAGAAGCTCAGAAGGGATTTCCAGCCCTTCTGCTTCTCACGCTGTAAAAATGGCAGGAGATTTTTACTTTCAGACTTGCAAAACTCTTGTAATGTAGCCTTCCAATAATGTGGAATTAGCTTATCCGGTCATGATTCCTATCTAGTATACCGGGGAAATATGACTCTTGGGGACAACGCCTGAAGAAGCTCTTGGTTCGGCCTCATTCTGCTGTTTTCTGTTCCATTGTTAGGATAATTTTTATGATATGGTATTAGAATACTTTATTTGGGCATTTGTACTTTTATTAACGTATAGTCAAGGCCATTGTTTTCCCAGTTGCAATGTATGAATGTGAAAGTTGGACCATAAGAAAGGCTGAGCGCCAAAGAATTGAGGCCTTTGAACTATGGTGCTGGAGAAGACTCCTGCGAGTCCCTTGGACTGCAAGGCGTTCAAATCGGTCAGTCCTAGAAGAGATCAACCCTGACTGCTCTTTAGAAGGCCAGATCCTGAAGTTGAAACTCAAATACTTTGGCCACCTAATGAGAAGGAAGGACTCACTGGAAAAGGGCCTAATGATGGGAAAGATTGAGGGCAATAGAAGAAGGGGACGACAGAGAATGAGATGGCTGGATGGAGTCACTGAAGCAGGAGGTGTGAACTTAAATGGACTCCAGAAGATGGTAGAGGACAGGAAGACCTGGAGGAACGTTGTCCATGGGGTCGTGAGGGTCGGACACACGCAATTAACAACAACAACTTTTATTAAGTCTCAGAAACGATGTCTCCTGGTTCACTTTAAGATTTGTAAACCTTCTCAGTGTCCACAAACCTTCAAAAGTAGCTTACCCAGGAAACTGAGTTAAGGTACATCTTCTAAGGGTAGATAAGATATCCATTAGGATTCTTCTTAGATAATTATTCTCAGAAAACCTAAAGGCCCTGGCAAGGAAGGAAGTTCCTTACATCAGGAGTCTCCAACCTTGGCAACTTTAGGATTTGTGGAATTCAACTCCCAGAATTCCTCACCCAGAATTCTGGGAGTTGAAGTCCACAAGTCATAAATTTGTCAAAGTTGGGGGCCCCTGCCTTACATGGAATGATGTGAGGAAGGAAACGAGTGACTGAGTAAGGGGGGTGATCTTCTATAGGAGGGGCTGATTATAATGTAGATAACCTCTGCTGCAGGGGGGGCCTTTGCGGGGACCCCCACCCACCCTGCCTGGTGTTTTTTATCAACCTGGGTGAGGGCACACTGGGTAAGGTACAAATTCTCCAACAGTTTTGGATGGCTGAGTCCCAAAATAGTCATGCATTGGGCTATTTGCCCAAAGGGTAGTGTCTTTCTGGTGACTTGACCTGGAGGGATGTAAAGGCAATTTGGGTCTTGAGCCAAACAGTTGCATGAATTAAATCAGTCAGTCAGTCAATCAATCAATCAGAATAGAGCTGGAAGGGACCTTGGAGGTCTTCCAGTCCAACCCCCTGCCATTTGAAATGAAATGTCATCTCATTTCATGGTTTGTGAATACCCATGAAATTCTTTTGTGCTTTGTTGACTGTATTGTGAGTGATACTCTTTTCTGTTAAATTTGCCTATTGATCAAAGCTGTGTGTCAAACTGGATTCAGCCGCCCTCAGATCTCTGCCAGCTCTCATGGGTGACGACCAGAAAACCCTGAATTGCAAGGAGGACCAGTGAGATCCGCATTCTGCAATAGGGCTATGAAAGGTTGCATGACTGAACCATAACCAAGAAGTAGTGAGTGCGGGAGAGAAGGAGTATGTTTTCCTCTGACCTGAGATTCCCCCCCCCCCGGTTTTGATTATTGGAATATGTAGGGAAGCTAAGGGTCATCCATGTTGTTGCTATTGAACTGAATGAAAGAAATGTTTGCTGGGGGAATGGCTTGTGTGTACGTCTTGTTGGTGTAGTGTGGTGTTTAGTGTTGGGGAAAGTGTGTAAACTGACAGACTGCAAGGTTTTTCCTTTCACTCATTTTGGAAACTACTTTGCTAACTCGGATGTTTGGCTGAAAGGGGAGGGAAATGTATCCCATCAGGAACAAGTGGTTAGCTGACTGTTGCCTTTCTGAAAAGAGCAGCCATTTGTTCTGGGTGGTTGGCTTCAGTCGTTCTGCTGTTGTCTTCTCCTGCTTGCCTACCTTCCTCCTAAGCTCAAGACCCCCGTGGCCTCTGCAACGTTTTCTTGTTTTTTGCCTAATAGACACAAGACCCGGACCAGAGGCAGTGGAAGAAAAAGATGGAGGACGTTCAAAGAATTCCAGTGGAAGCTGGGCCATTAGCATCTTTATTGGATTCTTACTGACTACACCTTAAACTTTACTAAGTCCTATGGCTTGTTTGCAAGCCAAGATTTCATCGAGTTTCTATTTTTACACGTGTGCTATGAAATTACAGTTGTTCTTTGGTATCATCATTAAAATGTTCCGGGAGATGTGATGAGTCCCAAAAACAATGAATACCAAACAAAATTTTCCCATAAGGAATATTGTAGTGAGTCACAAGGTACTTAACACAGAAAAGTTTGTGTGTGTTGAGTATCAAACAAACAAAGAGAACTGGGACAAAATGTTCAGGTCAAAGTGTGTTGAGTACCAAATTCAATGAGTTTCAAAGCAGTTGAGTACCAAGTTACTGGTGTATCTTTAAGAGTGTCACGACTGCTTATAGATAGGGTCTGGAGTACATAACACCAGACACATCACCAGAAGACAAAATCATAAAACTGTATCTCATTTACTTTGGTCATGTCATGCTGGTGAATTCATTGGAGAAAGCAGTTATGTTTGGAAGAGTTAGCAGTAAAAGGAAACCAGGTTGCCAAAGAACACGGTGGCTGGACAGTGTCAAAGCTGACACCAGCCAGAGCATAGAACAACTCAAAGAATTAATGCAAGATCAGAAGATGTGGAAAGACCTGG